CTCTCTCTCTCTCTCTCTCTCTCTCCCACACACACACACACACACTCTCTCTCTCTCTCTCACACACACACACACACACACACACACACTCTCTCTCTCTCTCTCTCTCTCTCTCTCTCTCTCTCTCACACACACACACACACTCCCTCACACACACCCACACACACTTATTGTTGCTCGCTGTAAGTGATGATGTACAGTCAGCAGACGCTCCTGTTAGGGATTATTTTGTGATAATGAACATCTGAATCTACATTGTCCTTCTTGTTCAAATAAATCAGTAAATGAACATGAAATATTTATTAAAGACTAAATTATTTTATTAAGTTAGAGGAAAAAAGTGTGGAATTGTTTAAAAGACATGAAACTAGCTATGTAGGGAAAAACTTGCCTGAAACAGCCATCAGTGTCTCTGTCTGTGTGTGTGTGCAGCCCTTCATGCCTCTGGCCAGCCTGCGCTGTTCTCCTGACGTGCATCTGTTCCTGTGCCAGGCGTTTGTTCCTGAGTGCACGGATCACACGCGTGTCCTGCGGCCCTGCAGAGAGCTGTGTGAGCGTGTTCTGTCCGACTGCAGCAGAGACATGCTCACCTTCGGCATCAGCTGGCCGTCCGAGCTGCAGTGTGACCGGTGAGTAGATCATCAGTCTTCTGTGAGAGGAATGGGTTGCAGCAGCTAATCAATCATGAAAATGGTAGGGGTGTGTGATATCATGATTTTTGATTGTGGTCGATTAAAATGTCTCTACGATCTGCTTTTGAAGAAATGTGGTAGTATCGTACAGAGCACATTCTATCAGCTGCAGTTCTGTCACCTCTGTCTCAATATACTGTACGAGACATACATACAAATAAACATGAATTAACATTCACATCAGATGTTACTCAGCGGTTACTGTGTTACACTACACATATTTACAATCACAAAACTACATTATTTCCATCTGCTTTAAAGCCTTGCCGGTTAAACATTTCATTCGCGTGCTGCTCTGACGTGTGCTGTTTCTGAGCGTGCACACACTAAAGATCCTGTCAAACAGTGGCTGAGTTATCGTTCTGATTGCGCTACTACTGTCAGAAACACACAAGCACATAGCAAAGATGGCTGCCCACTGCTCCAGGTGTGTGTACATGCAGAGCACAAATTCTGATTATGGGACCCCTTACTTGGCTACACGTCACTTTCATTTGTCATTAAAGGGATAGTTCACCCAAAAATGAAAATTCTGTCATTATTTACAGGCCCTCATGATGTGTATTAATTTCTCTCTTGTGCTGAACACAAAAGAAGTTATTTTGAAGAGTGTGGGTAACCAAACAGTAGCTGGTCTCCATTGACTTTAATAGTAGGAAAAAATACTATGGAAGTCACTGTGGACCAGCAACTGTTTAGTTACACACATTCTTCAAAATAACTTTTATGTTCAAAAGAAGAAAGAAATTCATTCAAGTTTAAAACGACTTGAGAGTGAGTAGATGACAGAATTAAAATTTTTGGGTGAATTATCCCTTTAATTTGAATAAGTCAAGTCACCTTTATTTGTATAACGCTTTATACAATACTGATTGTGTCAGCTTTACAGAGTCAAACAGGAAAATAGCTCATCAATAATGCAAGAGGACAATAACGGAGTCATTTTCTAGCCAAATTCAGTTCATTGATTCAGTGATCATCATCCAGTTCAGCTCTAAAACAACAAAACAAAGAGAAAAATCACTCGCTTCTCTTGCCTGAAGAACTTTAATACAGTTGCTTTAATAGGAATCCGTGTTTAATTTATACAGGGAAGTGTATATAGTGTTTTATATTTATATTTGTTTTTATTTTTCTCCAAACATTAATACTTCATAATGGGAAATGATTTATAAAAATAATATTATGTATTTAAGTTTGGAGCTGTTCACTTGGATCAGTCAGGTAAGCACACTGGGAACATTTTCATGACTGCTGAGAGTAATTTGACTAGTCCAAGAAACATTTACTGAGGTTTCTAACATCTTTAGTGGCGGTGCATTTAAACACAACTCTAAAATAACAGATTCATCTTCTTAAAGATAATCGTTTATCGTGCTGATAGTGTGCTGACAGTCACACTGAACGGACTTGAGCTGAATAATGATTGTAGAGCTGCTTTACAGCTTAATGTGGATTTGTTTCATATTTCACATTTGCATCATTGATTATTATTCTACTGTTTATTACTGTGAGGCTGCTTTGGAACAATCTGTATTGTATTAAGTGCTATGTAAATACAGGTGACTTGACAGTAAATCCCCTTCTCGTGACGTTAAGTTTATTTTATTTCACCACATTTAAAGCAGTGTTTACAAATTTAAAACCATTTAACAATACATTTCAAGATGGCCACTGTCGGTTTTCAAATTATCTGCTGTTTCTCTTATTATCCAGAATGCACACATTTATTTGAGAAGTGTTGTGGAGAGATCAAAGGACAATAACTAACACTTTTCCTAAAAGGACTAGTTATGGGACTAGTTAAATGTTATTCTACATATGTGAGTGCTGCTGGATCCTCGTATCCCTGAGTAATGCGTCTAATCGGCGTGTGACGGACACGACAGACCATAATTACACAGGTTTCCTTTATGACAGTTAGTTGTTCAGAAAAATCACCAGCTAGTTCATCATGAAAATTTGAAGCTTCACATATTCCTGGTGTTTAGAGCTGTAAATGATTGTGATTTGCTTGTTTTTGTCTCTGGTGTCACAGATTGGAGTCATGTCACGGTTCTGCGGTTTCAGTCGTGGAGGTGACCACATCCAGAAGCTCTCAGTCCGGTCGGGATCTGGGGTTCTGGTGTCCCCTTCAGCTGAAGACTCGACCCGGTCAGCGTGGATCTTTCCTCGGGGCTCAAGACTGTGCTCCGCCGTGCCACAACATGTACCTTAAACCACACGAAGTTCAGTTCGCCAAGACCTTCATCGGCGTGTGTTCCATTGTGTGCTTATGTGCGACTCTGTTCACATTTTTAACCTTCCTCATTGATGTGAAGCGCTTTCGCTACCCTGAGCGGCCGATCATCTTCTACTCTGTCTGCTACAGTTTTGTCTCCCTCGTCTATTTTGTTGGTTTTCTGCTGGGTAACGAGGCGGCCTGTAACGAGCCGAGTCTGCCGGGCCGCGTGTCCACGGTTGTGCTGGGAGCCCAGAGTCGCGTCTGCTCGCTGCTCTTCATGCTGCTGTATTTCTTCTCCACTGCGGGAATGGTGTGGTGGGTGGTTCTGACCATCACCTGGTTTCTGGCCGCAGGGCCGAAGTGGAGCTGTGAAGCGATAGAGAAGGCGGCGGTGTGGTTCCACACGGTGTCCTGGGGTCTCCCCGGAGCGCTCACCGTCGTGCTGCTGGCGATGGAGAAGGTGGAGGGAGACGGCATCAGCGGCGTGTGTTTCGTGGGGCTCTACGATCTCACGGTGCTGCGCTGGTTTGTGGTGGCTCCGCTGGCGATCGCGGTGCTGGCTGGCCTCTCGCTGCTGCTCGCTGGCATCATGTCTCTGAACCGCGTGCGTCAGGTGATCCAGCATGACGAACAGAACCAGGAGAAGCTGAAGAAGTTCATGATCCGCATCGGAGTGTTCAGCGGCCTGTACCTGCTGCCTCTGCTGGTGCTGCTCGGCTGCTATCTGTACGAACAAGCCCACCGCAGCCGCTGGGAGAACAGCTGGATCCGCCGGCACTGCCAGGAATACAGCATTCCCTGCTCCCGCCGCGTGAGACATTCAGTCCTGTGCTGTGGATGCTGACATTACCAGAGCATTTTGTGTTTTGTTTTTTGTAGAGTATTGATGTGGAGCGGCCTGAGCTCTCGCTGTTTCTCATTAAATATCTGATGACGCTGATCGTGGGAATATCAGCCGTGTTCTGGGTCAGCAGTAAGAAAACCTGCTCGGAGTGGGCTTCATTCTTCAAGAGAAATCGCAAGAAAGAGTGAGGCCACTTTCTCTAATCCTATCCCAATCGTTTATGACACAGAAAGAGAGTGTTCAGTTTGTCATGCTCTCCACTTGCAGTGCATATAATCTGAACAACAAATAAATGACATGGTGGGTGCAAAATTGTGTTCACAGCAGGGCTTAAAGTTGAGGAAGTTTTTTCTCCCTGTATAATAAATGTTTTATTTCTGCTTGTGCTTCAGTCCCATCAGCGAGAGTCGGCGTGTTCTGCAGGAGTCCTGTGAGTTCTTCCTCAAGCACAACAGCCGTGTGCAGCACAAGTCCAAGCACTACAAGTCCTCCTCACACAAGCTGAAGGTCGTGTCCAAGTCTATGGGCACCAGCACAGGCATGCACACACCTGTCACCAGTAACCACGGCAACACACCTGTCTCCACGGCAACCCGCAACCACTACATTCCAAGCCAGAGCATCTCTGATCCGCATGGTTCCTCAGAGACGTCCGTTCAGGAGCGCATCGGATCAACAGCACCAGCTGAGAGACGCAGTAAAGCCGACAGCAGCAGCCACACTCAAAGCTCACACAGGTTCATATTATATATATTGTTGAATGCAGTATGCAGTTTTCATTCTGTTTAGATGAGACAGCCTTTCCACTAGCAACATCAATACTAAGAGTAAATTTAATCTAATAACAGAACTGAATTTAAAAAATGTATGGTACATAGATGCATTTGGCAGATTCATCTATTGACCATCATCTGAATTCTAATCGAGGCCGTATTTTACTCATGTTCAGTTTTTAGACTAATTCATTCATGGCCATTTTTTAAATTTAAATGTTGCATTATATGCTGAAGGCCACCAGGAAGAGCATCGTTCACATGTGGCAACTCACCGAGAATTTCAGCTCAGATAACTCATAACTTTTATATGAAGGAATTTGTATAAATGCTTTGACAAAATACAAGCTTCACGTTTGAGAATGTCATGTACATCTTTCCTGGCTTGAGAGACAAACAAGATAGATGAACTTGTTGAACCTGCAATATTTCTTTCATTTGACAGATGATCTCAACGGATGTTTAGTTTTTCCTACTGTTTTTAACACGTCTATTTGAATTGCTTTTGGAAGGTTGAGACCCAAAGATGATTTGCTGGAGGCTGACCAGAGCTCTGCCCACTGCACCAACACCCAGTGAAATCACAGGATCGGCTCTGCATATGAATGGAGCTTAAGGAGAGAGACTTCTGGCTCCGTCCTCCTCTTTCTCTGTACATTTCAATTATTGATGTCCATATCACTGGAAGCTTTGTTTTCATTCCTGTACACTACTGTAAAATCATCATCGGGTTATAATGGTAGCTCATATTTACTGACAGGATCTATGTAGAGTCGACATGAATTTGTCAGTTATGTTGCATTTTTGTAGGAACAAGATTGCACATTTGTAAACTTATCCAAGTGATTCATCACTGGAATAGTCTTAACACTGACACTTCTGACCTTAATCTATGAACGAAAGCAACAGATTTAATTCAGGATTCACTCTTAAATGAGAGGCTCTAAAGATTTCTACAGATTTTGCACAAGTGCTCGAACTGTATGCCAAAAACACTTCTTTTGGAGTTCTTGCCCAGAACAGAACCATACCGCCAATCCAAACTGTTTGCTAATTGTCAATCATCTCTGACGATAGTGGTCCTGACAGAAATGTAATGTGTACAGACTGTAGACCGGAAACCGTCTTTTACTTTTTGACAGGAATTAAAAGAAGTACAGTGCGTTCAATGGATTGCACTGTTGTTTAATATACTAATAGTTCAGCTAACAAAACTTTCAAAAAAAAAAAACTTTCATTAAAAACTCCATATAACTTAAAAAAAAAAATAAAAAAAAAGTGTTCCTTTTTAAAATACAGTACTTTTATACCTTTATATGTACGTGCCATTGTAAAGCCTAGTCTCTCCCTCACATCTTGTTTTCAGCAGTGTTAAATTCAGTATGGTGTTTATTGATGTTCATTATAATGCCAGTTGTGTGTTTTTTGAACCTTGCGTAGTTACCAAAGTACTTGTATCTAACAAGTTCCTCTTACAGTAAATAAAAGGTGTACAAATACATTGGGTGGAGGATAGAATACGTCAGTTGATAGATTTGTATTAGCATTGTATTAATATCAATTGTGTAATGAATCTAGTAGATGAAGTACTTCTGTATCTGTCTGTCCATCATACAGTTTATTATACATGTTTATTATGCAAGGCTTATGTTAAAATAAAGTCCATATAAAACCATCAATGCAGAGGTTTTCAGTGTGTGGTCTTTATTTCTCATATACTGAAGTATAACGGTGCAGTGTTTGTTTTTTTGGCTGTAAGTCTTTGCTTTCCTTTACTGTTAAAGTTCTGTGAAATTAAGATTGTTTTGACTGAGGATGGACATATTTAACATACAACAATGGCAGACCATAAACTCAGACAGCTTCGTCAGGCCAAAGAGGATGCCTACAGGAGTGGGGACACTGAATAAGGAGATCAGAGCGGCTAGGAGGAGCCGATGCTACTGCTTCAGTGTGGAAAGGCCTGAAAGTCATTACAAACTTCAAGATTAGGGTGGCAAGATTTGGGGAAAAAATCGAATTGCAACTTTTCTGGTTAAAATTGCGGTTTGTGATTTAAATGTGATTTTTAAAGCAAATGAACAAAAATAATATAAGATAAAAATGAATGATAAGATAACACTAATTTTATTTTACAGAAAACTGCAACTTTGCAGCTTTTTACAACCGCTATGACAATTTTTTTCAATACTTTTAACAATTTTCCTAAACTCAATGCAACATCCGTCTATGAAGACTACACAATTAACGCATTTCTTGTTTAATGTAGCGTCTGGACCACTCAAACACACAATATATATTTTGTTAGCTAGACTTAACAAATACTCTGTAACACCCCAGGAAGCCGAACAGGCCCCTGGTTCCATGGTAACCCTGACACCCAATACATTTACGACCTCCTGGAATTTAGGTGAAGAAAATCGCTTCCTTGCCCATAAGGAAAATCCACAAGGGAAGGACTTTTCTTTGCTAATTAATTAATAGGAAAACCTTTCTTTGAATGAACACACATGATCCTTCAGGTCATTGGGTATATTATTGTCATGTATTTTGTCTTTGAAATTGTATACTGTGATGCAGGCTTATAATCGAAACACACTCCTGTCAGCTTACATATATATATAACTCTACCATGTTTAGTATCTTTTACTTTTTGACAGGAATTAAAAGAAGTACAGTGCGTTCAATGGATTGCACTGTTGTTTAATATACTAATAGTTCAGCTAACAAAACTTTCAAAAAAAAAAAACTTTCATTAAAAACTCCATATAACTTAAAAAAAAAAATAAAAAAAAAGTGTTCCTTTTTAAAATACAGTACTTTTATACCTTTATATGTACGTGCCATTGTAAAGCCTAGTCTCTCCCTCACATCTTGTTTTCAGCAGTGTTAAATTCAGTATGGTGTTCATTATAATGCCAGTTGTGTGTTTTTTGAACCTTGCGTAGTTACCAAAGTACTTGTATCTAAAAGTTCCTCTTACAGTAAATAAAAGGTGTACAAATACATTGGGTGGAGGATAGAATATGTCAGTTGATAGATTTGTATTAGCATTGTATTAATATCAATTGTGTAATGAATCTAGTAGATGAAGTACTTCTGTATCTGTCTGTCCATCATACAGTTTATTATACGTGTTTATAATGCAAGGCTTATGTTAAAATAAAGTCCATATAAAACCACCAATGCAGAGGTTTTCAGTGTGTGGTCTTTATTTCTCATATACTGAAGTATAACGGTGCAGTGTTTGTTTTTTTGGCTGTAAGTCTTTGCTTTCATTTACTGTTAAAGTTCTGTGAAATTAAGATTGTTTTGACTGAGGATGGACATATTTAACATACAACAATGGCAGACCATAAACTCAGACAGCTTCGTCAGGCCAAAGAGGATGCCTACAGGAGTGGGGACACTGAATAAGGAGATCAGAGCGGCTAGGAGGAGCCGATGCTACTGCTTCAGTGTGGAAAGGCCTGAAAGTCATTACAAACTTCAAGATTAGGGTGGCAAGATTTGGGGAAAAAATTGAATTGCAACTTTTCTGGTTAAAATTGCGGTTTGTGATTTAAATGAGATTTTTAAAGCAAATGAACAAAAATAATATTATAATTAGATAAAAATTAATGATAAGATGACACTAATTTTATTTTACAGAAAACTGCAACTTTGCAGCTTTTTACAATCGCTATGACAATTTTTTTCATTACTTTTAACAATTTTCCTAAACTCAATGCAGTTAGCACAACATCCGTCTATGAAGACTACACAATTAACGCATTTCTTGTTTAATGTAGCGTCTGGACCACTCAAACACACAATATATATTTTGTTAGCTAGACTTAACAAATACTCTGTAACACCCCAGGAAGCTGAACAGGCCCCTGGTTCCATGGTAACCCTGACACCCGATACATTTACGACCTCCTGGAATTTAGGTGAAGAAAAACGCTTCCTTGCCCATAAGGAAAATCCACAAGGGAAGGACTTTTCTTTGCTAATTAATTAATAGGAAAACCTTTCTTTGAATGAACACACATGATCCTTCAGGTCATTGGGTATATTATTGTCGTGTATTTTGTCTTTGAAATTGTATACTGTTATGCAGGCTTATAATCGAAACACACTCCTGTCAGCTTACATATATATAACTCTACCATGTTTAG